CTTTATTAGTCTGAGCTTGGGAAGCAATGAAGTGTTCTATCATGATTTCTAGGTTAGATTTCCTAGGAGTATTAGGTCCATTACCAGGATGATTTGGGATAGCTTTTGGATAACCGGGTGGTGTGGCAGGAGCTTGTCCAGGTGCGGATAACGCGTTGTTACTTTTGTATGAAATATTCAGATGATTTTTCCAACCAGGGTTATAGGTATTTCTATAAGGGTTCCCTTGTACGTAATTTTCTTGTTCAGCTGGAACTCCCGTTAGAAGTGGGCATTCTGGAGCAGGATGTGATTGAAGACCACATAGATCGCAAGTTTGAACAACTGCAGATACGGTAGCTGCAGGAGTAGTGGTAAGGTTTTCTAACTTTTGGGTAAGAGCTTCCACTTTAGCATTGACTTGGTCCAGAATATTCACTTCAGACATTCCACCTTTGGTTTGGGATTTCTCCAGATTAGCTCTTTCGCTTCCCCATTGATAGTGGTTCTGGGCCATACTTTCGATAAGTTGATTTGCTTCGGCATATGGTTTATCCATCAGTGCGCCACCAGCAGCGGCGTCTATAGTCAATCTTGTGTTTTACAAGAGACCATTATAAAATGTATGAATGATTAGCCATTCTTCTAAACCATGATGAGGACAGAGTCTAATCATATCCTTGTAACGTTCCCATGCTTCGAAAAGTGATTCGTTATCTTTTTGTCTAAAACCATTGATGTTAGCTCTAAGTATAGCAGTTTTGCTTGGTGGGAAATATCTAGCCAAGAAGACTTTCTTCAATTCATCCCATGTGGTGATTGAATTTGAAGGAAGAGATTGGATCCAGGCTCGGGCTCTGTCTCTTAAAGAAAAAGGAAATAGGTGCAATCGTATCGCCTCGGGGTTTACACCATTCGTTTTTACAGTGTCTGCGTACTGCATAAACACTGACATATGTAGGTTAGGGTCGTCAGTAGGAGATCTAGAAAATTGGTTATGCTGAACGGCGGATAAAAGCGAAGGTTTTAGCTCGAAATCGTTTCGAGCAATACCAGGAGCGGCAATGCTGTTGTGAGGTTCCGCTTGCGAAGGAACTGCGTAGTTCTTAAGAGCGCGAGGCGGATTTGGTACGTCAGCCATTGTTGATTCTTCGATAAATTCTGGTAACAGGATATCAGGAATTTTAGTCGGAGGAAGATTGTTGAGAGATCAGTATTCTTGAATTCAGCATCTTAATCTTAAGTAACGCTCGATATCGTTAATTTGTAGATGCAAAGGCTCGCTTCGAGAACGAGTGTTTGGCATACAACAGAGGGAAATATAAAAAGTTGCCCTAGTCTAGACAACATTGTTTTTAGAATACACTAGTGACTAAACTAAAGTCCCCGGCAACGGCGCCAAAAACTTGATGTGCGATTGACCTAATATGTCTAACGGTATCTTAATTGCAAGTGCACAGTCTATCGCGGTAGTAATAAAAAGATGTCGAACCCACGGGGACTTCGTAATCACTCTAGTGTTATGAAACAGGTTAGTTTAGCTAAGGCGGAAATTGTCACGTTTGGTTTTTAGAAGTTTAAAACTAAAGGAGAAACTAAATTCAATTAAAAGAATTATAATATTAAAGTGGTCGGAGTGTAATGTTTTGAACCTATGCGAATTAAATTGTACCTAAGCATATAAAAATATTTAACTTAAATTGTTCTGTAGTACTTATCAGTTTAAAAACCCTCGATTCACGCTCTCGTGGTCTTACCTCGGATCATACTCCTAAAGCCAAATGTCTGCTCTCGCTAGCCCATAAGTGTTTAGAAAGCATCTTTTTGAAAACTAAATAAATCTAATTCGTTTTAAAGCGCTCTCGCTGTATTTAAATCGAATGCCTAACTTTAGCTATCCGGTTAAAACCTCACACTCTCGTGGTCTTGATTTCTCCCTATTTTACTTTCCTTACTCTCGTAACAAAAAGCTTAATTTTTAATTATAAAAAGTCACGGCCAGAAATTAAGTTAATTAAGGTTTTAGCTTAGAAATACATTAATTCATTCAATTATTTCATCACACCCCGACTACGGGTATTTAGCTACTCATAATGCTCGGAATTAAAATGCGGGAAATAAAATCAGAAAACAATAACACATGCATTATAAATAAAGAACAGAAATTTAACATAAATAAATTGCAATTATATTGAATACGATAAAAACCTGAAAAGCAATAGTATCCTAGATCCTTCTTCCATAAGCCGGTAAGATCGGAACGTCGGAATGAAAATTAAATAAACAAAATGCTGAGGCTTGAAAGAAATCCTAACTACAATAGCAATTTCCTGATGTTGGAAATGCTATTAAAGGTTCTGAAAGGAAAGGGAATAACAAGAACAAAATGAAATCGGAAAATAGAATCGGGTTTTAAATCGGCAGAGCTTCCGCAAGAATTTTCTGAACTGAACTCTGTAATTTCTTCTTTGAAGTCCAAGCTATTTATAGAGAATGAATACAGTTGGGATTATATTTCACGTTGCTAGATTCTTGGCTTGCTGAGAAAAATAAGGAGAAGGTGGTCTTGGTCGTTGGAGAAAAATAAGGCACACATGCATGCTTCGTTACTTGACCACGTACTGCACGTTCAAAATAACTAATAAAATGCTTGTTACGGTCGTGGCTGGTGTGTTACGTGCAGATTCCATGAAATAGCGTGTTACGATCGTGGCCAATGCATGACGGTCGTAACACGCTTCTAAAGTGTCTTACGGTCGTGGCAAGGGTGTGACGACCGTAATAGCAACAAATTTTGGATTTTTGACAGATTTATCTTTTCTCTTCTGGTCTTGGCCGCAATCTTGTACATTTCATGTTTCTTTCTAGTTTGAGCTAAGATATGTTGTACCTGCATAAAATCATACAAAACTCGGGGTATTCGGGAGTTAATCGGGTCAATACGATATAAAGCGGTTTAATTTCATAGTAAATATATGATACGATTTCTCGTTATCAGAAAATCGAGGCTCTTTTATAATCCCTTTTAGGTTCGTAAGTCATTTTCTAAAAAGTGTCGAAGCCGGAATGAATTGGGCTCTTGATGCCACTTGTTAGACGACGATAATGATATCTAGAGAAAGGGTGAATAGATGCCCCTTTGAAAAATATCCATATAAAATTTGGTTTCGAAAAAGTTTTATCAAAATATGACACATAAGCTTTTTCAAAATGTCGTCTATACGAATGCTTATTGGGAAGCTAGGATATGCAAACCATAGAACAAAAATAATATAGAACACGAATGATAATATGAATTGATAACTTTGAATCACTTTGCAACTTATTTATTGTTCAATGAGAATTACTTGCAAGGCTATTTCCAATGGTAATATTAAAAGAACTAGTTGAATCAATTTATCAAACACTTAGTGTGGAAGTGAATTTTTATAATTTTTCCTTTCATTGTGTTGATACACAAAACCACTTATAATCAAAAGTGATTATAAGCTATATCAACACTAGATTTAAAATCAAAAACTGATTAGGAGAATTCTTACAATTCAATTGATAACGCAATGCTATTTGATAAATTGATCAATGAAAATCAAAGAAAGTAAAAGAAAAAATAAAGAGACACAAGGAATTTGTCTTCACGGTTCCCCACTGCCGTCATCGCGTGTGGGTACGTTTGCATCTAATTCCAATGGAATTAGGATAATTCTTACTATGCAAAATTGTTGATACAAGAGAAGTGTTAAAGAGCAACTCCATAAACTCTGAGCTTGTTATTGATTGAATCCCTTCTCCTTTTTTTGATCTTGAGCAAGACCAAGAACCGATAGATGCAACCTATTTGCCCTTTAAGCTATTTCCTTGCAAAGATTTTAAACACTCCAAGGGATTTCACTCGTGTAAAACCGATTGCACTCTATCAAACACAAGACTTTCGATTCTATCTTCCAATATTTGCTACTTCCTTGAAAAGATTTCAAACACTCCAAGATTCCTTACAAAGGTTTCAAGCACTCCAAGGTTTCTTGCAAAGATTTCAAACACTCCAAGGTGTTGAATGACAAACCCGATATTTTTGCTTGGATAAAAATACCTACACAACTCAACCCAATATACAATTAAACACTAACAATCCTCGTCTAGATGACACCCCAACAAAACATCTCTACAATGAAATGTCAGTGTGTATACATAGGTTGGTGGTTGAAGATGATGAGAGAAATATGGTTTTCAACAAGTTGAAATGATGCATGAAAGAGTATTTATAGTTTTAGAATACAAACTTTTCTCAATTTTAACGTCATTCAAAATATTTTACAACGACTTATGTAGTCATAGTAACTATTGTACTTCTTACACGCAAAACATGCATAGAATTATTGCACTTGTATATCATTTGTGTCAAATATTAACAATATCATGTAAAAACTAAAGAAAGGCAACAAAAAAAAAGTACTTTGTGAAATATGTCAAGTCTACCGTTTGAAATTTTACAATTTTGTTTTAAAAAATCTAAAAAAAATAATAATTATTGTAAAAAATTTCATTTTAAATTTATTGAATAAATAATATATTTAAATTATATACAGATTAAATAATTAATTATTTAATAAGTTTAAAAAATAAAAAATGTTTGTAAAAGAGAATGGAAAGAGTATATTTAACCATTATAATCTATTTTATTTATTTTGACGGAAATTTATTAAAAGGCATTTTATCAAAAAGGTAATAAGATTATTTCATTTGAAATATGGAGCCCGAAATGATCGGAAAATTTGTTTTTATCTAGGTTAAAAAAAATGGTATGTTGGTTTAGTTGCACAAAATAAGAGGAAAAAAGAAAAAAAAGAATGTGAAAACAAAAAAAGTCGGTGTCGTAAATGGCCTCCACTCTGACAGTCTGATATGCTCCCTTCTCTGGGTTTTGTTTGATTCACTTGTCCTCTCAATCCCCATTACCATGAACCTCATCATCATCACCAACTCTAACTCTAAATCAAATCTCTAACAACACTCACACAAACATTATGGGCCAAGAAAACCACTTAACTCAAAAGAGAACAACCAGCGTCGGGGGAGTATTACCAACCACAACCTCCTCACGTAACCGATCACTCCCACGTGGCCGCCAGATCCAGAAAACATTCAACAACATCAAGATCACAATCCTCTGCGGCTTCGTTACAATTCTCGTCCTACGTGACACTATCGGTGTTAATCTCGGCACGTCGCAGAACGACGCGCTCAATCAGAATGTTATCGAAGAAACCAATCGGATCCTCACCGAGATCCGATCTGATTCCGATCCGGCCGATCGGAATCAGACCGAGACTTTCATGACTTTGAACGACACTTATGCGCTTGGTCCTAAGATCCGGAATTGGGATACCGAAAGGAAAACTTGGCTTCGGAAGAATCCTGACTACCCTAATTTTCTTAGAGGGAAACCCAGGATCTTGCTTCTTACGGGTTCGCCGCCCAAACCCTGTGATAATCCTATTGGGGATCATTATCTTTTGAAATCTATTAAGAATAAGATCGATTATTGCAGGTTACTCTTCTTTATCTTTACTAATCTTCAATGTTGTTTTTTTCCACATTATAAACATATCATTTCATTTTATATCAATAGTACACAATGGCCCTATGGTTCTGTTATGTCAAAATATCCCTGTGCAAACTCAAACCCTAATTTAGGTCAACAGTGCAAGGAGGTGTCTTGAGCTGAGCAAACCCTAGCTTGATCTTGAGTTCCAAGGGCTTTGTGATGAGAAATGTTGATAAAAGGAGAGGGAAAATTTTGGGGTACAACAATTGTCTTCTCCATGTCTTCAGGAGCCATCTTGATCTGGTTGTAGCTAGAGAAACCATCCATGAAGGAGAAAATTTTATGTTGTGCGGTGTTGTCAACCAGAACGTCAATGTGGGGAAGCGGGAAGTCATCCTTGGGGATTGCTCTGTTCAGGTCTCTGTAGTCCACACACATCCGTACCTTAATGTCCTTCTTTGGCACCGGAATGACGTTAGAAACCCACTGCTGATAGGAGGTGACAACTAAGAACCCAGCGTCGAACTGCTTCATGACCTCTGCCTTAATATTCTCCGACATTTCAGGGCGCATGCGACAGACCTTTTGCTTAACCGGAGGATAATCTTATTTAGTTTGCAGATGATGTACCACAATATCAGTGTCTAAACCAGGCATGTCTTCATATGGCCAGGTGAAGATCTCAACATAGTCGTGCAACATTTGTATCAACCGATGTTTGATCTTAGTCTCCAGATTTGTGCCGATCTTGACTTCTTTTCTGTCTACCTTTGTGCCCAAGTTTATCATCTTAACTGGATCTTCATGAGGATGTATAGCCATCTCTTCCTGTTGTAACAATCTAGCAAGTTCTTCGGGTACCTTATAATCGTCCTCACCTTCGTCCTCGGCTTGGTTGATCAGATTTTCAAAGTTATGACTGGGAATAGCAGAACTATTATCAATGGGATCCATAGTGGATATGGATATGCAGTTTGATATGTGAGTTTGTGTAAGAGCATAGTTGTATTGATAAAGTGAAAAGCAAAAAACAAAAAGCGCAAAATTTGTATGCAAGAAACATCCAATGTTTTATTGATGACATATGAAAAATGGCATATAATAACACTCACAAACAAAACCATTGTGCCTCGGGTAAGACACAAGGCCGTAGAGGTTAAATTGTTTATTACAAACTTGAAAAACAAGTAAGACAATTACTGCTAAACAAAAGAAATTGGTATAAAATCTTTGGCCGTCTAGTTACTCAGTCCACCGTTAGTAGTCGGGTAGATCCAGCTGTCAATATCGGAATCTTCCTCATTGTCTTCAATAGTGTTGACCCCACAATTGTTGATGTGTAGGGGAGGTCCTCCATCCCGAGCGCGTCGAACAGCCCTTTGAGCCCCTGAAGTAAATCTTAAACCAAATTTATCAATTTTGTGAGTAAAATCAGGGAGCTGTCCCCAAATGGTACACCCACCTTCTTCAACTACTGCTATGGGGTCCTTATGAGAATTCATCTTCAAAGGAGGTTTGGTGCTGGTGGTAGCCTTGGTTGACGCCAAAATATGGGGAACCTCTTCAAAGTTTTGACAAGGAGTCTCTATGAATTCCCTGTCCATCTCCACATACCTGAAGGAGTTCAAGTGGCTCACCATATACTCCTCTTCACCATGCATAGTGACGATTTTCCCCTTCACCAGATATTTCAGCATTTGGTGCAGTGTAGAAGTGACAACCCCAGCTTCATGGATCCAAGGATGACCCAACAAACAAGAGTACGATGGCCTGATGTCCATCACATAGAAGGTGGACGCAAAGGTCTGATATCCCACTTTGACAGGGATGTCCACCTCCCCATGCACCATTCTCTTCGACCCGTCAAAAGCCCTCACCACAATGTTACTGGGATTTAGGGTCAAGCCTTCACAATCTAGCCGATTGAGAGCCTTCTTAGGCAGCATTCAGTGAAGATCCAGTGTCCACCAGCACATGAGCCATAGTAGTGCCCCTGCATTCGATCGAGACATGTAAAGCATCATTATGCTTTCTCCCCTTCGGTGTCAAGTCGGCATGTGAAAAACCCAACCCATTGTCAATAGTCAAACTGGCCATGCAGTCTTTGAATTGATCGGTGGAGGTTTCTTGTGGCACATGTGCAATCTTGAGGAATGCAATTAGAGATTTTGCATGGGCCTCAGAACATAACAACAGAGACAACATTGATATTTTCGAAGGGGTCTACCCCAGCTGCTCGACCATATTGTAGTCGCTCTTCTTGATTATTTTTAAGATTTCCTCTATTTCTTGCTTAGAGGATTCCACAACAATCTTTCTAGGTGCCTCCGTCCGGGCAGCTCACTTATAACTTCTTTGCCCCGAGTCCTAGATGACTCATCAGTAGGGGTAATAATTGGAGTAAGAATGAGAGTAGTAACGGAAGTACCGGTAGGAACAACAGATGAAATAACAACAAGCTTAGTGACAGTCTTCGGGGAGATTTCGGGAGAGAAAACCCTTCCACTTCTGGTAATCTTGTTGGTCTCTACAATGTTACTGACATCAGGATCATCCTCTTTAGTCTTCAAATCCTGTTTAACGCCATGATAGTAAACTTCGGCACCATAATTCCAAGGGACGGCTTTGTCTGAGGAGTACGGTACAAGACCAGGAAAAGTGATTATCAATGGGGCGATTCTTGGAGAAGGTGTAATCCTAACAGGTCTTTTAGAGGAGACCTTGGAAGGATTGGAGGAAATGGTTATAATGGCAATATCTTCACACGGAACAGTTGGAATCAAAGTCTTTACGAACAAAATTTCTCTGCTGTCCATCAGACGTTGAACACCTGCTTTCAACAAATAGCAACCAGTGGGTAGAGATGAACACATGTGGCAACCTTCACCACAGCCCGAAAATAAACCGACTAACAACAAATTCTTCTTAACAGTCATGAGAGGAGTGGAAACTTCATCGACGGAGGTAACAAATAGATCAGTGTCAATGGCATTAACTCCACGGTTGTGCTTGAGCATGGGAGCAGTTATGACATTAGGCTTCTCTGGAGCATCAAACTCAATCTCCTTGGCTTCAATTAGATCTTGTACTTTATTTCTCAGAGCCCAGCAGTCATTTGTATCGTGGCCAGGACTCTCAGAATAGTATGCACACCGAGCGTTTGGATTGTACTAATGATATCTGGCATTAGGATTCTTGGGAGCCTCTTTCAAGGTTGCCAAGTTGGATCTTAGCAGATGGGGTAGAACCTTAGTCAATGTCATGTTAATTTGAGTAAACTACCTTTTGGGCGTATCCGGCTTACTCTGACTAACCCATTGTTTTTGGCGAGGTTGTTGTTGGACCTGTGAGGTAGTAGCAATCTGGAAAGATCCACTCTTCACCAAACCAACCTTTTGTCTTCTTAGAGACTGATCGATGACTTGGTCCTCAACCTCGACTGCTTGCTTCATACGGTTGTATCCGTCTTGATGAAGTTTGTTGATAATGGCTCTCAGCTCTTCTTACCCCCGGGCTAGGCCTTAGATAAGAGCCATTTTCCCCAGCATCTGGGTTCTCATTGCTTCTACCTCGGCTTGCAGTTGTTCCAACTGTTCATCCTTATTGTCTTCAGGACTTTCCTTGGCTAGGTCCCCAGCAGGGAGTGCTTTCAACTCTTCCTGCCCCTTGGATAGGTTTAGGAATATTTCCATGAACTGAGCCTCTTGAATTTGGAGATCTATGTTGTCTTGTTTGAGATCCATTGCTGAAATAAACAGCAAGAACATGAGATACTTGTACTGGAGACTACATGTTATGCAATGACACGTATGATATGCAAATGTTTCCAAGGATCTCGCGGGGTAAACAAGAAAATGTCAGAAATTGAAATTTGCAGCTTTGATTGAAGAACTGTGTATCGTTGAGTGTCCTTCTATGAGAGTCAAGCTCACCATATCAAGTGGGTCATAGCCCCTGACTCAAGTTGTCGTGTGCTAATCTTTTGACGACATTGGCTAGAGGAAAATACATCCCCTTGCCCCTTGCTAGACGTCTGGTTCATCATAACCTACATCACAAACCCTTGAGATCCTTGAAATGGTTAAGGAGATGCTATAGGATGATGTTATGATGTGTATGCTATGCGTTAAGCAAAAGTGTAAGGTGATGTAAGCAAGTAAACCCTGCAAGAAATCCAAGTTATTAGATAATGACTGTAAACAAATCCTGCAAGGAAATCATGTTATCAGATAAAAACTCTGCAAGTAGTTCAAGTTGAAAGCAAACAAATCACACAAGAAGCCTTAGGTTTAGGCTTGCATGGGTTTTAAGGTAGTACCCTCTTGAAGTTAAGTTGGTTCAACCTGTCCTAAATATAGTAACCGGGTTCTAAGGGATCTCAATATCACCGATCTTTCCCCCCAAATTTCGCTCTGATAGACAATTGACTTGCCACCAAACAAAACTCAAGAGTCAAACCTCAATGAGTGTAGCATCAAGTATCAACTAAGCTTTAGGTTTACACCAAAGACGGGTATCTCACTACGTCCTAAAAAGCCAAGTTGGTCAATTAAGGTGCTAAGGTCAGTTGATGCTTTATGATACCATGCAGCGGACATGTATTCTCCTTGATTACTCAAGGGCTACCGATACACACTAAAGTATCGCATCAACGTAGCTACTGTTTCAATCATGCCGGTATACCCCATACAGCTCCCTCATAGTTTATTCCTACTTACCTAAAAGGAATTCCCCGATCCGGGTTTAGGATCTAAACAACCCAAACAGATACCCTTAAAAGTAAATCAAACAAGACAAGCCAAAGAAGCAATTAAAATGGCCTAGATCATAAGGTAAACCCCACTTTTTATTTATCCACAGCAGAGTCGCCAGTTCTGTGATACGGTGGCAGAACCGACTGTTATACTGGGTTGCGTTTTATATTCACAAATTTCGCGGTAAGCAAGAGTCGCCACCGACTTTTATTTCATCCAACAAAGGAAAAGGAAAAAGAACAGAAAAAACCTTTTTTCGAGATTTTTTGAGTACGGGGGTAGATTATAGAAAAGGAAGGTGTTAGCACCCTTTCTATCCATGGTTTTCCATGGGCTCTTAGGTACTTGCTCATTTTGAAATTGCTTGTGTGTGTTTTAAAAAGTTTTTGTTTAATTTCGTGATAACCCTTGTATCTGTCCTTAAGA